TATTGTACGATGTTATTTTCTATTTTATGGCACGATGTGGTCTGCTTGATTAGTATATAAACAAAGTATGTTTGAAATATAATGATTCATATCTCAGAGGCTGTGACTTTCGTCCTGGACTCAACTGGCTGGGTTAGACAGGGAAGCGGGATCAATCAGAACCCTAGGCCGTTCTACGTGTTTGTGAGTCTTTGGTCTGGTCAATAATTCGCTGCCCTTAATCAGCAGCATATTTTTCACGTTATAACAGGTTTCAACACTTGGTCATCAAGTGGTGGACTCGTAATGTTATGAGACTTTAATGAAACTACGGTAGACTGAAAAAATCGAAGGATTGAGTTTTCAGAAAATTCCTTCAAACAGAAACTAGTTGACGCGGTTATCACATGCCCTGGCACAACATACGAAATGAGCAACGAGGTGAGTCCCAGACTTCGAATCATTTCCACTAAATCTCATATTTAACCATTATAAGGATGACGTAACAAACCTTCATTATACATCGACCCTAGGTATAAGTGACGATGCATTTCTAGTCTCTCATTGTGTTTTAGTTGTCAATAACGAGGAAGTGTCACCCCGAGCCAAACCAAACGTCTGGGAAGTAAATATTGAAGATATTATATACACTTCTCCCCCAGTAGATTGAACAATGGAACCTGAATCCCTAATTGAAACGGCTTGGAAAGTAGTCAAAAAAATATACATAAAAGTCACTGCACCGTACATCCCTTGGACTACACAAAGAAGTCCGAGAAACTCCCCACAATGGTTAAGTAAAGAGATTGTCATTCTCCGTAAGAGAAGAATGTGGGAGAGATTTAGGCTATTGGGTTCTGAAGAGACTAAGTCTCAATATTGAGAAGTTTGAATCTAATTTGCCATTATTTTTCATCTTCTAAAACAAAGAATTTACGAGGACGCTAAAATGTTCACAAACCTTGAACAAATTACTAATTGGCTGATTGCCGAATTTCCCATCGAACCATCAACGAGTGAAACTTGTAACATTAGCATGTGGTTGAAGCTCCATCACTCAATTCTGAGGGTTGGATCCACTGAGAGATTACCATTTCCAGGACTTACACAGTCTACTTAGACACATGTCCTTTTCAAACTCGAACAGAAACTAAAACAGCGACAACTACAATGACATCGTAGAAACAACGAAACAAAATTCATGACACCTTACATAGATGAATGAACTACAAAATACAGTCACCAAAACTCACTGAAATTGGACAAAAGTGGTGTACCTCAAGGCACCATCTTAGGCCCTCTGCTCTTCCTTCTCTACGTTAATGAGTTTCCGCTGTTACTTAGGTCGTCGACATTATTGTTGACGGATGATGTAAAAATCTGGAGAACAATAAAAAGTGCGACTGATCATCTGGATCTTCAAGCTGACTCAGACGACTTAGTTAGATGGGCTGGAGAGTGGGGCTTAGAAATCAATGCTAGGAAGAATGTGCTAATGCACATAGGTCACGGTAATAGTTACCGTTACACTATTGAGGGTAAACCTCTTTCATGCGTTCAAGAGCATAAAGACTTAGGAGTAGTATTAAGTCATGATTTGAAAACAACTACGCATTGCAAAGCGGCCGCTGTAAAAGGTTTTCGTGCGTTATGGTCACTTCGCCAAGCGTTCAAATCTTTTGACGAGAAAACGTTTCTAATTTTGTATCCCACCTATGTAAGACCACACTTAGAGTACTGTATTCAAGCAGCTAGCCCGTGTCTGGTAAAGGATACTAACTCCCTTGAGCGTGTCCAGCGTGTGGGAACGAAATTAGTGAAAGGTCTTTCTAGTCTCCCTTACGATGAGCGCTTAAAACGCCTAAATCTTTTCCCCTTGTCGTATCGTAGGACACGAGGTGACCTTATACTGGCATTTCGTATCTTTAATTATGATTTGGGTGTTAATATGTCTTGTCTTTTTGCTCCCTCCAGCACTAATAATCTCCGCGGTCATAGCAAGAAGGTTCATAAACCAAGATCTAATAAACTTAAAGTGGGGTCCCGTTTTCCTCATCGAGTAGTTAATGATTGGAACGCCTTACCCGAACAAGTGGTATCAGCCCCATCAGTGAATACTTTCAAGGAGAAGCTGGACCTTCACTGGAAAGCAGTGTGTCAGGATTAATACAGGTTCATCAACCTACTATCCATATTACTGAAGACTGAAGACTGAAATTGGACATAGACTTGCAGATGGTTAACCTTCGTGCATCACTCAAAATATTTTATCTAAAGCAGCCAATACCTAAATAGGACAGTTCTGATTGGTCTTTTTGAGAATAGCCCAAGGACGACACTCATAACCAAAGGAGTCGGTAAGTCGAAGCATGGATGTTGGTATGGTGGTGTTTCTTTATCATTTATACCTTTATTTCACTTTGGGGTCATATCCATTTGAAGGAAAACCAGCAAAACTTTCCTTCACTAACGAAGTTATTCTAAAGCTTATTCATGGATTCCATGGAATCTATAACACCAAATATTTGGTGTTATGGGCATACTTAATTAAGTCCTAAAACATGTAGCTACAGTGGACGACTACAATTTATGAGCATTTCTAGGTGTTTCCAGATCTGCTAACGTTACAAAACTATAGTTTTGTGAAATAAAGAAAAAAAAGCACCATCATCCACTTTGATCGTAGAATTTCGGCCCATATGGGCCGATATCAAAAAGAAATTAGGACAGAGGAAGGGAAATACATAATATGAATAGTTTGTATCTACATCAAACATCTAATGAACTCGTACACAAGTATGTTGTAATTGGCCACAAAATTAAGCTAAAAGGCTTCTGGATACAGTGTACCAACGAGAACTAATATTCTGATTGTTGTTAAATCCTCTACCAAACTAATTCTGCACATTAACACATATGCCTTCGACCGCTAATCAAGATATGTTAGCTTGATTTTCATGTCACAGCCAACGCTATCTCCGCTCTGTTTTTACTAGAAATACAAGTTAGGCAAGATGACAGACCATGAACGACATTGTAGTTACCATGAAGAAAATTCCTAGTTTTCTTAGCTTTTCCACAACTTAGTAGGTCTTGGCAACCTAAATATGTATCATTTTTACAGGTTGTCTGTTAACAAGGGTAATGAAGGGCTTCTGTTGATATAGGGTCCGTTTGAATTCGTAAAGACAGAATGACCGTCATTCTTGCTCCAAGTACAGATGCAACTGAGAACAAAAGCAGTAAAAAACAACCTAGATCATGGCTTAAATGTCTATCGGCTCTAGTTGTCAAGCCACATCAGCACAAGAAATAAAACTATCACGATGAATACCGAAAGAAAACAGTCATCCCCATTTTTGTGTTGGTTGTTTGAATCTTCTCATTGATGTTTAGGACTGCAACTAATCAGTCTATTACTGGATTTGACTTTTAGCCACCTCTATCTGTGCTTATAAAGTTATTCCAAGACAACTTGAGCTACGGTACATTACTGGTCATCAAACCCTACTTTCAAATAATTAAACGACTGTCTATTCACATTTTTCACTGCCGTATGACTCCAATGTATAAATTTACACGAGTAAAAGTGTATGCATGTACTCTATGAGAAGTAGTACTTTCAAGATATCTTACGAACCATGTTTTTACGATAGTAATTGTATTGACTCCCAATTCTTCCACCAAAAACATAGCGCTAACGAGTTAGTTCTTAGGTTGCAAATGCTTATTTAGTATAAGCTCCGGGTGCTTAAGGGATTTCTGAAGCATCGGTCTCCAAAACCTCACCAACTAAAAGCCCTGAATTCTAAGTTTTATGGAAGAGGTAGACTAACAGTGGGATCCAGGACGTTCATTCCCTCCTATCTGGGACTCGTTCACTGAGTACTTGCATCCCAAAGTCGATATTCACCATGGGATTTTAATTCAATACCTTCCGCTTCAAATGCCAACTCATTATCTACTGGCACTTAAAGCGGAAGACACTGGGTCCTAATTTAGGGCTGAACATCAACTCTGGGATGCAGTTGCACTAGCTGACGAGTCCCGGGTGTGACGAAATATTCCACTGACAGCCAATATCTATCCCTTCTATAGAACTTTTAAAAATATCGAGGCAATTCGCATAAGATACACATATGCCAACTAGGACTAATCGAAATTCAGTCAAGTATACCAATAACAGGATATGTCAAAACCCCTACAAATTAAACCCGAATCCTAAAGTTTTTGTACCTACCCTCCTGTTGAATCTTTGACTTGGATAAAGAGTTTATTTCATCCGATCTTCAATTAGCAAATCCAGCTAGTTACAGATATTCCAATTCCGAACAATCTGTGGATTTCTTATAATAGTCTGGTTTCTCACTACTCCCTAGCATTAATTTAAAAACCCATTCAGGCCAAAGCTCATCACTGACCAACCTACCGGATCTCATTACCTCGGTAGCATGCAACCCCAAAGGATTTGATAATACGCTTCAGTTAGCAGATTTAGACCACATATTGATAGTGTGCATCAAAAAATAATCCTGAATTTATCGCATCCGATATATTGTGGTCTTCAACGTTATTAATTGCATACTTTTAAAGTACTAATGACCAGGTAATCTCATGTGTTTGTTAACTCATGTCTAACTTTTCCTTTGTTCTATTTTTTTGAAATACACTTGAATAATAGTTGTGTAAGTATGATCCACTTCTCTAATATAACGTAAATTTTGAGTGACTTTCACATAAAAAACTGGATTTAAGTTTAGATGTACTTATCTTTTTAGTATTTCGTAAATTCATGTCGATGTACCTAGACATTTGCTTCTACATAGTGTAAATCACTAAAAAACGGAAAATTTTCGAGAGAAAGTCATATGAATGTGTGGGTTTTCGAAGTGAGCTTCAGACTGTTACGTTTTTTCCATTTCAGAAGGAACTTCAGTGAAGTAGATTTTGTAATACGACAACACGTATATTGTTAACTACTTAGTGAATAACACTACTATAATTAACTGTTAAATAATATTATGGATGTGCAATTGTGCGATGGTTCATTGGGTGATGAGGTAATAAATCGTTTTTATCATCTAAAGATTTTAAAATAAAGAAAGATGGTACAAACTCTTTGGGAACTATAGTTACAGAAGATTCTAGTGGAAACATTCCAAATGTAAATTCAAATATAAATGTATATGATTGTATGGAGTTCAAGCGAAAGCGCTCCGTTATAAAAGAAAAGCGTTTTGTGATAAATGGTTAGTATACTTGTTATTTACATTTATATGCACATTTTTATGTAAAACGTTTGGGGCAACATATGTTACAAAGCTTTTAAGATTTCCCGAATACATTTCCTTCTAAAAGTTATCATTTGCGATTTTCAATGAAATACTAGCTGATTTCACGTAACCTAGCAGTTTCCACAGAATGTGATTTTAATTCCTGGTCTCATTATTTCTCCAGTAAAATAAAACAGCATTCCGGTCTTGTAATCATCAGTGTTTTCAAGATATTTTGCATGTTCAGTCTGACCATAATTTCGTCCGATTAGTGTTGCCCGACCGTTGTTGCTACCTTGACGTGGTGGTCAGGCTTGCCTATCGTGATGAAGCAACCGAGCTATACTGGTTGGAACAACTGTTCCTCAAGGTCCTACCATGTCAGACAGGTCGGTTGGTGAGCGGTACTCATAAAAGGTCTTGTGTGACAGATGTCAAGCAGTCGTCCCTTGGGCACTGCGGTCACGTTCCCAGGTTACTAAGACCACCTCTAATCCAATTTCCTTTTCAGGCACCTCCAGAAGAACCCTTCCACGGTGTGGGCAACCGGGAAGTGGTAACCTCCCTCATACCTCTAACAGCACTCAAGACCACTGTATTCATAATCAACCTCCGTCTTCACTTTCTATTATTCCTCCTACATCGACTTTCACCTCTAAACTTCCTTTTTCGGCTTCCTCCTCAAATGTCTCCATAGCCAACAATTCTAGTGCTCAAAACACTGTCCCAGGTCTACTGAAACCTCGCTCCAAACTACACATTGGAGCCTTCAACGTACACACCATATGTCAAATCAGTCAACAGGCTACCTTGGCTAGAACCCTATAATCTCGTACCATTGATGTATGCTGTGTCTCTGAAACACGGATACAGGATCCCAGTGTGGTCATTCACTTGATCTCACCTCGGCAAAACGGAGAGCCAACGAGATACACCCTCCGTGTATCTGGTGACCCGAAGGCCAGCTCTCGTGTACTGGCAGGAGTAGGTATAGCACTAAGCATGAGGGCGGAACAAGCACTGTTAGAGTAGATCCCCGTTAACAGTCGTTTATGTGCTGTTCGGCTAAACGGCTCCGTAAGAACTTGGAAAGATAGGGACACACGTCATTGCTTTTTCGTCGTTTCTGCCTACGCTCCCACCGACTGCAGCTCAGATGAAGTGAAAGATGAATTTTACAGAAAGCTATCTGAACTTCTTCAGAAAGCTAAACGTTCAGACATAGTACTCGTAGCAGGTGACTTTAATGCCCAGATAGGTAGTTTAAACCAAACAGAAAGGCATTTAAGTGGGTATTTCAGTATTCCGGCTCAGCGAACAAATAATGGTGATCGTCTGCTGCAACTGGGCCCAGACAATCGTTTATTTTCAGCAAACACGAATTTTAAGCATAAGGAGAGACATCGTCTAACATGGCGACCGCCTGCACCAAACCAACGATGGACTCAAATAGACCATATTGCCATCAGTCATCGTTGGAGAGGGTCGGTAGAAGATTGTCGCTCATTCTGGAGTACCTGCTTGGACTCCGACCATGCCCTAATGCGGGCATACATATGCTTGCGCCTCACTGGACGCATAAAAGCCACACTAAAAAGACCCATTAGAACTGAATTGAGTAGCGAGAAAACCAAAAGTGGGTTCCAGGAACAACTGAGATCACAATTAGGTAGTTCTGAAAGCGAGGTTGACCCAAATGTTGCTTGGAAAGCTATACAAAGAACCAAAGGATTTCCTCAAGGTCTATTGCACTGATGGATTCGCGTAAACTCACCCCATCAGGCTCTGAACACGATGAAGAGCGACAACAAATCAGATCCAGGTTAACCAAAAGTCTAAGGAACGACCGTGAGCAGTGGTGGGTAACGAAAGCAAAAGAGATGAAAAAGGCGGTGGCTATAGGGAACACAAGACAGGTCTACAGACTAATAAAAGAAACTGGAATTAATAAGTCAAGTGTAAGTCAGACTATTTCGGAAAAGGACGACACCCTCATCTGCTCTCAGTCCAGACGTTTAGAACGATGGGCGAAACATTTCAGAGAACAGTTCAGCTGGCCTTCAGCTACTCTACAACTACCCTCCATTCCCAGACAGTGTGAATGGAACATTGAAGTAGGATCCCCAACTCTAGCAGAAGTTCAAAAGGCTATAGTTAATCTGAAACGAGGAAGGGCAGCTGGTCTAGATGGACTGGCTCCAGAAGTCTTTAAGGATGGTGGTCCAATTTTAGCGATTAGGTTGACTAATATTTTTAGCTAAAATCTGGGAGTTGGACGTAATCACATTTGACTGGTCACAATCACTTATCGTCCCTTTATATAAGAAAGGGTCAAAATCATCTTGTGACAACCACAGAGGGATTAGTTTAACTAATATAATATCTAAAATACTAGCTTCGATAATTATCAGACGCCTAACTAAGACTCGTGAACTGCAAACACGAGAGACTCAAGCTGGCTTCAGACCTGGCCGTGGCTGCATCGACCACATATTCACCATTCGTCAGGTTCTAGAACATAGGCGTACTTATCGGCGTCCGACAATGGTGGTCTTTCTCGACTTAAAAGCAGCATTTGACTCTGTAGACCGCGAGATTCTGTGGCAGTGTCTGTCATTGAAAGGCGTACCCCAGAAGTACATAAACCTTGTAAAGGCTCTTTACTCGAACACTACTAGTCGAGTCAGAGCTTATGGCGAACTGTCATCTACCTTTGCAACCTCAAGTGGTGTCCGTCAAGGCTGTCCACTTTCTCCATTTTTGTTTAACTTCATCATAGACATGCTGATAGGAATAACACTATCGTCGACTAAATTTTCAGAAACTGATCTACCAAGAGGTCCACTTATCGACTTAGAATACCCAGATGATATAGTCCTGTTTGGTGAAGACGCTGATAAGATGCAGAGTCTTCTGGTAGCACTAAGAAACAATGCCAGAATGTTTGGAATGCGCTTCTCTCCCTTTAAATGCAAGTTGTTGCTTCAGGACTGGTCTGCGTCAACGCCTGAACTAAGGATAGGGGGTGAAGTAGTCGAACGCGTTGACAACTTCACTTATCTTGGAAGTCTGATCAGCTCTAATGGGTTGGTGTCTGACGAAATCTCAGAACGGATTCGAAAAACTCGCTTGGCTTTTGCCAGCTTACATCACCTGTGGCGAGGGCGACATATTGGTCTATCAATTAAGGGACAAGTATACTGCACAGCAGTTCGTTCTGTTCTACTTTACGGCTGCGAAACGTGACCATTAACAGTAGAAGATACCCGTAAGTTACTAGTATTTGACCACAGATGCCTTACAAATATTGCTGGCATCTGCTGGGATCACCGGGTAAGTAATAGTGAGGTTAGACGCAGGGTATTAGGGAATGATGGTTAATCAGTTGATGAGGTTGTGAATCTTCATCGACTGAGATAGTTGGGCCACGTGTTACGTATGCCCGAACACCGATTACCACGACGTGCGATGCCAACCTGTATTGGAGTTGTTTGGAAGAAGGTTAGGGGCGGCCAAACCAAAACGTGGCATCAGTGCTTGAAGTCACTAACTTCTAGTCTGAGCCATGTTGGTAGATGCAGACTACTTGGTTGGGGTCCGCGTGACTATCGTAACCAACGGTTGGAGACTCTTTGTGACATGGCTCAGAATCGATCACAACGGCGTCGGTGTATACACTCTATCTTCCCTTAAACTAAGAGATTAAAATTGCTTTATATCTTTCTTTCTACTAACTAATTCTTTCTTCCTGTACTATATCCTTATTGCAATCTTTCTTTTATATATTACCACCTTCGAAATAATTACTTTTATGAATCCGGTGTCCATCTTGTTGTGCTAATGCGGTATGGCAACCTAGACAGATGCATATATGTGCCTGGTCCTACGTTGTAGCTGACTGACTGCAGTCCTATGGTAGCCGGTGACCAGCGATTGGTTCATACACCATTTTTTCCCACAGGGTACTGGAGCCCATGTGCACCATTGGTTCGGAATCAGGTTTTTCCCTTGTCCCTCAGGTGGACCCTCTGTGTCCACCAACCCAGTTAAAGCGCTGGACATTCGTTTTTCGTCCTCTCAATTTCATAAACAACACCCGTGGTGCGAGGAAGCAGTGGGTAGGACTTCCCTGGCAGAGGCTATATACGCGTGGCCATGTTAGAGCATTTTGAGAGGGAGAGCTGGCTCCCTCCACTCTCGGCCGTACCATGACATTTGGGGGCACAAATGCAATCACTTTTTATCTTTCGATTTCGTATTCAAGTATTCTTTGGTAAATCTTGTTGAACCATATTCTCAATTATTAGTCTTTTTCATCGTCATTGACACCGCATTATTTTGATTTTATTTATTCATCTTGTCATTTCCATGTCGCCATTATAACATGGTATGGTACCTTGTGCCAAAGCGCATCCATATCAGGTTCTGGCTTGACAGAGATAACTCACTCCTATCTGGGTGGTAAAGGCAAACGTTTTAATCGTTTGATGCTACAGGTTGCCTTTTTGGTAGTGGTTATAATTTTCATCATGAAACTATTGTTACTACATTTCTATGTGTAATATACTTACATCTCTTGAATGAATGGGTCCGAATTCATATCACCGTAATTATTCAGAATTGGGGTTCGCAAACAACCATTATTAAACGGTTATGACATAATAGGTAGAATATTGTTATGGTAGCTAAGTAACTACGCGTTGTTCCTCACTTAAGGATGTTAACTACAGCTTGTTAGTGTGGGACGGCAATTCTGTTCAACCACTGGTAAATGGCTACTAAAAAGGTTTGTTTTGCATTAATAACTCACCGTTCTAAAATGGTTGAAAAATTGCATTTATTCTTACTTTCGTAAGACGGTTTTTGCATACGATCATTTTTAAATTTAATATATTTGCAGAAGTTTTATTCCTTATAAATAAAACATAATTGCCTGTGCCACTTTAAACATCTATTTTCTTAACTGACAGTTTCCATAGTATACAGTCTATATGTAAAGAGGATATCAAAAAGTAAGTATACAAATTGAGATGTTATTACTTGTCTACGTCCCAGTAAGTTAGAATAAACATTCATGCACACCAACCCTAAAGTAATGTTCCGAACTCGGAGATGGGGAAACGTATTTCAAACATTTTCTCATCCGAATACAAATAAGTTTACAGAGTTTGAGCAGATATCTGTTCCTTACTGAATGTAAATGTTGTAATAACGATTGTGAAGAAAAGCAAAATTATCATGGAATCTGAATAAAATTCTTTATAATCATCAAATTAGGGAAAAAGGGTACAAATGAAATATTCCATATATTCATTCAATGTGGTTTGACATAAGTAATTATATTTAACAAAACTCATTGTTTATATATGTAATGGTGACATTTAAAGTTTTGAGTGACTCGAGAGTATATAAGGTATCCAGTCTAGTAATATGAAATCCAAGAAATTAAGACAATTTACGTCGTTGTAATCAAAACATTTGGTGACTATCTTAGTATGGTTTTCTTCGTAAATCGACATAAGCTAATGGATCACCGATTACTAGTTTACACCGATCATATTTTTAAAAAAAACTTAGGTTTCCTTTACCGAAACTCTTATTCTGTCATCAACTATAGCTAAGTAAATCAGTCACACATCAAAATAAATATTCTAGAGGTTTTCTCGTTGCACAGCTTCACAATTTTCTTTGTTTGGTCTCGAAGTGGGTTATGCGTGTGTGTTTCTGGGGTATTCTACTATAAGATACATTATACCTTATTCTTCCCGACCCTTTACTGATATCGATGTAATGAAAATCACTGAAAATATCATGAAGAGAATAAAGTCACTGACTTGATTCTGTATTTAATACAAAATGTCGCTTTTTCTAAAAAGGAAGTAGCACTTTTCTTTTTGAGATATTTTCATTCTGTATCCTTGACATTTGAGTACACAGTTGAAACTTAAGTAACCTCATTTATATTAAAATGTGTAGTGTAATTTTAAAATATGTTTTTTTCCTAAACAACATTATTACTTCTTAACAACAGATATGGTTGAAACAGTTGATTTTGGTCTACTACCTGAGGGTTGGCTCCAACTACGTCATATTTCTGGACTTAATGTATATTTACACAGATCAAGCCGAGTGGTGACACTTTCAAGACCATATTCTATTGGACCGAGTAGTGTACGTCACCACCGTATTCCTGTATCGGCTATTCCATGTTTGGCTTATCGTAAAGCTAGTGGAAAATTTTTTTATCCAACTGAATCTCATAAGGTAAATTTTCAGCACTGTATTGATGTGCTTTGGTGATTTATCATGCATGTTATCCTGGATTAAAAAATTGTACGAACTTAATCTTTTCCAATGACTTTTATCATATAATCTAATTTGTTAAAATTCGTTTAACAAATATTCGTAGCTTTCCGCACAACTATCCATTCAAAACTGACAAGTTCGTTTTAACTTCATAATTTATGGATTTCCTTTCGGTATGGCATTTGCCATCACACTGCGCATTTATTTTACTTCTCTCTTAGTTACATCCCCTTTCATCTTTGAACGGAGAATTATTTTGCCATTGTATCTATGCAGATATTTGTCCACAATATCAAGATTACTATCGTTTGCTAAACAAATACGTTTGTAACTTTCATTATAATGTTTCCGTAGTTCATAGTCTGTAGTCACATTAAAAATAGATGGTTATATATGGTTGCATTTCGTGAATTCACATTCAGTGTGTCGACTTGAAATCGAAATTTTCACTTAGTTGTTAAGGACTTTTTACTTAAATAAATTCACTAGTTACCAGCTACATAATAATAATACCAAGCTGTCAATTGCACCCTCGCGGGTACTTAAAATCAAGTCCATTGAAACTATGCACCCCTGGTCTTGATTTAAACACTTAGCGTACTATTTTATACTTATTTTTTACCATGTATCAGACTCATTTTGATATTTTGACTATGTTGCTACGATGATTGCCGTCTATCCTACCTTCTTAATCGCTCACTTATATCAACGAAGAACGTTGGACAGGTCAGATAAAATTAACAAGGTGAATAACAAACAGCTTTAAATGATTTTAGCAGAAATATCAGTGATAAAAATTAGACACTGAAAATAGAATTTTTGAAGATGGAATGAAAAAGTATTTGTGAAGCAACAATAGGACCTTAGATCTCGAGGAAGACAAAAAGTAAATTCATTTGCACCATTGTGAACAGTTTTGAGCCATGTCGGTCTCAGTCTCCAACCACTGGTCTCCGTTACCAAGTGGACCCCGATATGGTAGTCTGAATCTACCAATATGGCGCAGACCAATAGTCTATGACTTCTTGGACTGATATCACCTTTTAGTTTTGCTACCAAACGTAAATATAATAATAATAGTATTAAATTTAGTGGGGAATATACAAACTCTTGGGTCTGTCTAGAAAGTACTCCTTTAGCTACGAACGGACCAGTTCACAAAAATAGGAAGAAGACCATGAACGCAAGTGGTATTGTAATAGAATTAGAACAAGGTGCTCATTTATGTACAAAGCAATTGTCGCTTCATACGAACACCACATCTACTACAGGTTAAATACATGTCTGGATTTTTATAGTTCACCCTAGGTTTTTTACGAAGGTTTTTTGTATGTATAACGGACTCTGTATTTGTGGTGGTTTTTGTATTGTCTAGAATAGATTCATTAGTTACAGAATTAAAATTAGGTATCGAAACGTATTTCATCAACACAGAGGTTTTGTGTACAAAAGTCGTAATATTTTTTGTACGGAAACTGTAGACTTGGTAATCTTATTCAGTCAAATTCCACTGGATAATCAGAAATGATTAGCACAATAATACATAACCGTTTCAGACTGCAAGCACCTCATATTCGGATAGACAGCCTTTGCTTTCTTTTGGTAATTTTGCTGGAGTTTTTGTCTCAGAATGCATGGCATTTCTATGTCTACTTTCTTCTCCAGTTTGTTGAATGTTATAGTAAAAAACGAAATTAACAATAGTTTTCTATTTTTTGAAAAAACTTTATCCTTGACCATTGAAATGAAGATGTTTGGGAGTAGAGTAGGAATTTTCGCTATCTATACTGTTCAGCCAAGTAGTAACTGAGTATGTCGCAACATTCATATTCATTTAGTTAATTCCATATTAAATCATTTCCCAAATTAAACTTGTCATATCTATGATCAAATTAGTCAATTGTGAGCAGTCAAAGTAAATTAATGATGGGATATTTATGTGTGCGTGTAAATATGGTACTTTTGACGATACTACATATACTTAATAGTTATAATACCAAAAAGTATCATCATTAACTCTATTCAGTTTTATCTAGTCAGCCAAACAGTGATCTTTTCATTGTCGTTTTTATTCTTTTGTCGTCTTTTTTCATATAATTAATTCATTAATTATGATATATATAAAGGTCCCTTCAGAGTTCAGTAGTCCAGTGAATGAGTTAAATAATAAAACAGTATGTTGTCCGTTTGAAATATCACCAACAAACATCCCATCTGAAGATGTAAAAACAGTCAAAAAATTAGACCTATCTAATGAATCGTTAGAAGATGAAGTGTCAGTGATAAGTAACAAGCATGAGGATGAGCTATCAATTAATTGTGGTGCTTCAGTATCATTCAGTCGTAGTAGAAATAACTCGTTTTCATTACCTGAAGATAACAATAATACTAATCACAATATTGCTGATGTAGTGAAAAGTAAAAATTCCGATAAAGAAGAAGGTGAATTATCTTCTGGTGATGATGAAAAAGAGAATTCATTTGAAGATGATAGTCGAGCTAAAAAACCACGTTTGAATAATAATGACGATGTTAGTGATGGTGTTGGCGAAGATTCAATCAACTGTTCATCCAATGAAACATCATCTTTACAAAGTAAGAATTTTTTCAATATTTTTTTATTTATTGGAATTTTCCTAATTAAATATTTAAAAATACCCATAAATTTTAAGACTAACCAATTTGTGATTTTGAAAGGAAATCGAAGATTTAATACTCACCAAATACGAGTTGGTGTACTTGACTACAAGCCGCACTCCAAAAGTGAAAGCCGAAGATACTTCCTGGTTGCCGAAACTAAAGTCGTTGAGGAGGGGTTTGGATCTACCATGTATTGGGTGTGTTAAACCCTTTGGTCATTGAACCACCCCTTAAAGAGTATTTATAAAATAGTCTCGTGATTGTTTCTCAACCTAATCGTCTCACGACTTCGGTTTCTTAAGGCCAGGTAAAGATCAGTTTATTACGTAAAAATCATTATATAGGTTGGTTATGGAGATTTTTTTGATTTGACTATAGTTTTCACCACTGACTGTCGCTATATTATTGTTTGGCGTTTCAATTCAGCCACTAATGCACGCTCCTACTTTCAACCTATCTAACTATACAGGTGAATAGACCTAAAACTGTACGGGAAGTCTTATTTCCGAAAGTGGGATAGTAATTACTTACTTACGCCTGTTACTCCTCGTGAAGGAGCATAGGCCGCTCACCAGCATTCTCCATCCAACCCTGTCCTGGGCAATCCTTTCTAGCTCCGTCCAGTTGTAATTCATCGTTTTCATATCTGCTTCTATTATCCGACGCAATGTGTTCTTTGGCCTTCCTCTTTTTCGCTTCCCTTCAGGATTCCAAGTTAGGGTCTGCCTCGTGATGCAGTTTGACGATTTGCGTAATGTATGTCCTATCCATTTCCATCGTCTTTTCCTAATTTCTTTTTCAGCTGGAAGTTGGTTTGTTCTCTCCCACAGAAGGCTATTGCTGATGGTATCCGGCCAGTGGATGTTGAGTATCTTGCGTAGGCAGCTATTTATAAATACTTGTACTTTCTTGATTGTGGTTGTTGTAGTTCTCCAAGTTTCAGCTCCATACAGTAGAACTGCCTTGACGTTCGTATTGAAGATTGTGACTTTGATATTGGTTGAAAGTTGTTTTGAGTTCCATATGTTCTTCAATTGTAGGAATGCGACCCTTGCTTTGCCGATCCTCGCCTTTACGTCTGCATCTGAACCTCCTTGTTCATCGATAATGCTTCCTAGGTATATGAAGGACTCTACATCTTCCAGAGTTTCGCCATCAAGAGTGATTGGATTGCTGTTCTCCGCTTTGAATTTGAGGACCTTGGTTTTCCCTTTGTGTATGCTGAGGCCTACTGATGCAGAGACTGCTGCTACACTGGCTGTCTTCAACTGCATCTGTTCGTGTGTACGTGATAGGAGGGCTAGGTCATCTGCGAAGTCCAAATCGTCTAATTGATTATGAGCTGTCCGTTGTATTCCGTGTTTTCCTTCAGATCTCGGGGTCTTCATAATCCAGTCGACCACCAGAAGAAAGAGGAAGGGAGAGAGTAAACAGCCTTGTCTGACTCCGGTCCTTACTTGGAATTCATCTGTCAGCTGTCCTCCATGCACTACTTTGCACTGTAGTCCGTCTTATGAGTTCCGGATAATATTGACAATGTTCTCAGGAACTCCGTAGTGTCGAAGAAGTTTCCATAATGTCCTCCTATCTACACTGTCGAATGCCTTTTCATAATCATTGAAGTTGATGTATAGTGATGAGTTCCACTCAACTGATTGTTCGACGATGATCCGTAGTGTTGCAATTTGGTCTGTGCACGACCGATCCTTACGGGATCCAGCTTGTTGATCTCGAAGTTGGGCGTCTACTGCTTTTAACTTATTATTATATTTATAGGTTGTGAGATTAATAGGAATATGTTGTCGATAGTGACCTTCGGCAATGAACGACTCATTCGTTCGAGTTTCCATTCATCTTCACATTTTTCTCGTTGTTTTGAGACAGCATGAGGTTTGCCATGGTTTATCTGACGTACGATGAGCTATTGAAAAGCAGGTTCTATTTATTGGTCGATTTGTAATAGAGGTTAAGATCCCTCAGCAGTGTTCAATAAATGCATTTTGCGACGTGGATTTCTGGACATCCATATCCCATATAAAGTACAGGATCCTTTTAGACCTATGATTTGGAGTTGGAAGGTCCACATTTCTAACTTCGTTCAGTTCTTTGGTTTTTTGTAGTTCTCCAGCGTATGTCCGTCTGAAGAGAATAGATTTACCCAACATGTATTATGGTCTCTCTTATGACGACTCAGCTAGTCTTACTGCTTAATATTTATTCAGACACACTTCCCGATTCGGAAAACAGTTGGACGGAAACATGATTATGTTCCAAATAAACAAGATTGACTGGAAGTAAAATTCGCAATAAGAAGGACGTGAATATGACTACAATTTTACATGAGAAGATTCTAGAGTCTTCTCCAATTGTCCTCTAGCTCTGATTGTCTAAGAAGTGACCAGTCAGCGTACTCCAACACAATCCTGCGCGGAACATGCTTTAATCCAATCTATATCCCACTAACAATATGACTCTAATTACTATTGTCCTTAATGATATTGTTCATACTACTATGTGATAGACTTATCATATTTTAAATTAAGTTTATTCCTCACTTGCGAAAATGAATTGTAATGGTGAAAAAGGTACCTTTCTGGTTTACATCTGATGGCACTTGATTATGTAATCAAAGCGTCATAGGAAGTTCAACCAATTCATATGGTACTATTGATGATATTAATTTTTTGTAGCTTAACGTCTACAATATTCTCAAGTTGGCTTTTAAATCGTTCGTTTTTTTTACAATTCTTATCATTGTTTCTATTATATTTACTGTAGATTCATTACCTAAAGCAGCTGAAGAAGTGTCAAGTACTTGTAATAACGTTCTATATAACAGATCAACTCATTTTGGAAATAGATATCGTAAATTTAGACGTGGTAATCTTCTAACCAAAAGATCTTGTTTAACAACATCACCAAATGTTCAACTGTCAGAGTCTGATCGTATATCCAACGTATCTACCAATAAACAAAATGAGTCACCTACTGGAACTCAAGAAATTGTTGCTGTTAAAACTCAGGTTAGATGTGAGGAAATATGAAGGTGATTATTGTCTGCTAAGTATTTTTCTTCTATCTCTAGTTTTGTTCAAAATATATTTTAACACCTTACTGATTTAGGAAAAAACCGGCTTGAAATTTTAGGTATTGTTAGACTTACTGGAAAACTCGCTCAAGACTGGTGGACTCGAAAAAGTATCTTAACTTTAACAGAGATAATGTTAAAAGTGACCAATTCAAATAGCAGAACGAAAAATCAATACGTTCACCGAGAAGGGTACTAGTTTACAAATAATCAACAAGGTGAGAGCGGAGTAATCGTACAGTTAATTAGTTGCTCATAAATACCATAACTAAAATATATAAATATGTGTAAGCTTTTAAAAAATATAACAGAACTACATTTAACATTTAAGATGATCACCAAGTTAATTCCCTTCTGATTAAGATCATTTTGACGCTGCATTTAATCGTATTTTTCAAGGTGTTTTCTATTAAAGACAAAGAAAAAGAATCTCTGTTGACACCTGATGATATTCGTGAATATTGTGGACGTCTTTTTGAAATCAGAGTAGAAGATACAGTAATTAAAAGGTATTCAAATGATTGTTTAAATTGTAGTTTTTGGTTTAATTATGGTAATCCAATTTTATTTTTGATTGTTTTTTTACTACCTTGTTTTAATCTGTACAAAAAAAGTCGTTATATGTGCACTTGAAACAATTGATGTGGATGATAACTTGTGATAGAATTAGAACACTATAATTCCCCTAACATCGACACAAATATTTTATAACAAAATGAATTCTAATGCGAACCGAATGTACTTTTCCAGCAACAATAACAAACTTCATAAATTATCGATAGACAACCTTATATCGACAATACTCCCAAATTTTTTTATACCATGCACGCGAATCCACACCAACCGTTGCAAAAATAATATCTTCTTCGAGGACAAGCAATAGCTGCTGTGTGAATGGAATAAAATGTAACCAAACAGTCAAGGTTATTGATAGTATTAATGAGGGATAAGTATTGATACAAGCTGTGATTAAAATAAGGAACAACTTTCTATGAATAACTTAGGGATTGTTAATAAAGTAAATGATAAAATACTTCTTCAGAACTTCAAGTTTTCAAACAAAACTTTTATTTTTTCGTTAAGCTTCAATTTTTTTAATTTAAAGTTTCCCTGAATCATGAGATAGTTTAAACCACGAACTTTATCTGAAAACATATTGGAAATCAGGGAGTACTATACAGATATTTTAGACTAGTCTAAAGCTCTCCACTTTTGCAACCACGATCCCACTAGAGTTCTAAAACATTACCTTCAGATTATGCAGCGAAATTCGAACCCAATCGTTCATATTTATAAGCTCAATCAATTCGTGATGTAGCATTACGATTATCCAGATTTTACCGTTTATACCTATTTGACTGTCGATATTGATGTTCCTCACCAGTTGCAATCATATTTGCTACTTCTTCCCAGTGTTTGAGCTTGCTTACCATAACGATGCAGTGATCTATATTGATTAGCACACTTATTCCTTCATGTTTCACTATCCTAAACAGGCTTGTTGGAGATCGGGAAAAGCAAAATTGTCAAAATTAAGGTTCAAGTAAGAAGTTAAATTACTATTTGGCTGCATTAAGGTGTTTCCAGTAAATCATCACTATTTTCTATGATATTAGCTTTCTACGATGAAGGAAAAGGTCACAAAAGTTTAACACTTAAGATAGTTTACTTCATATTATCTCACAGATTTATAGTGTATTCAATAAGATTTGATAAATATACGGTCAAAGCAATAAAACCTATTCACAATGAAGTTGCTTCGCAACTGGCCTCAAGTGTTTTACCCCTGAACTTTACGACAACCCTCTCACATCGTCAAAGCCATTTATACTAGTCTAATTTTGTTTACAGGTCCTTCAAACATATATATCTTGAAACTCAGGTTTATTGGGGCACATGCTTAAATATTTAAACGTTCACCTTCAGAGAATATGTCCCATGTTTAAAGGTAGACAATCGGCTATTACTTCGAGTTATACTCAATTATTACTATATCAAATTTCTTCAGCTTTCTACCGTTTGAAAGTAGTTTAACCTTATTCGAATTTGAAGTGATTTACTGTAGAAATTTGATTTTCCATACAAGTTAAACAATTTTAATGTTTTTATTTCCAAATTCCTCTGCATTATATTTATCAAAATAATTTTTAACTAAAATCTAGTATTTAAAGTATGCGCTAAATTTTCTAACTTAGTCTCTGTGGAGCTGTGATTAAAATTGTTCTCTACACTTCATCTCATACCACTTTTAGATGGTTCCCAACTCTTCTGTAGTATATTTTACTTATAATTTAGCATACTAACTTGTATATCCTGTCACTGTGTTATATTATATATAATTGTAAAGTTGTGTCGCACAAACAATACTCTTTTATTTCGTGGTTGGAATCGAATTTCCTATTTATCGTAATAGTAGTAGTTGGTTAGCTAGTTTTTACACATATCTTCTTTAAATCAATATTTATTTCATGCCAATACGAAATTTGTTTTTTTTTTCTATTTAAAAAAAACACAAAGAAATCGTGAATATCATTGTACAACAGATCTTACTACTAAAGAATCAGAAGACATACAGAAACCATTACTGATGATGGTAAGTACGAAAAACTAATCCTATTCCTCTGTAGCATTAACTTTTTTTGTTTTCACTTCTGAGCTGTACGTGAATAAATGTAATAACGAATAGTATTCTCACTTTCATTGATTGTTATGTTTTACTGTCTAACATCCGTTGGATACTTTTACTTCACTCGACTCTTCCGAAATCAAAACAAGAACTGAAAATTAGTACAGTATATTCCAGTAAACTTGAACAGCAATGTCTAACATTTCAGTTCGCTGATTAATTGATTGAAAAAGGACCATTTAGTGTATTCCGATTTGAGCCCGATCAGATAATGTAATAGTCAGGACTCTATTCTGCAAACAATTAATATAGTTACTTACTGCTCTTATTATGTTAAAATTTACACTGTTGTAACCTAATTTGATAAGCCCTTATAATAAGTTCTACTTATTTTTGTTAGTGAGATATGAATCTACCATAGATTTGTCAAACAAGAATATACTGTCCAGTTTTGTGTTGAATAAAAGTAACCGCCCTTAAGTGTTTGTTTTAGGTAGAATTATATTTATCGAAATCTTTGTTCCTATATATATCATCTACAGAAACTTGGCAAGATCTTATGAGTTAATCATTATTTCTTAATGTTGTATGCAATTTGTAGTGTTCTTAAGGCAATTTTAAAGAAAGTTTATGACTAAGACGTGAATCGGTTAGCTGAAGCTAGAGATTCCATCGTGGATGATGTAGCTTTACCCTATGATAATATGATGACCTGAAATCATTTGGTAACCATCGTTCAAATTTGCAAATCAAGTGTGCATACAATCTCGGTAATAAGTTTTTTTTACATAATTGAAAACACTATGTATCTAAGCTGTTGAAAGTGATGTAGCAAAAAAAATATCTGTACCATCACATTTCTGGATACATATCAGGATAAACTTGATGTGTGGTAGTGAAAGTAAACATGACTGTCCACTTAGTGTGAAAAACCAGACATTCAACTTACCGACTATTAAATATATGAATTCTTTTCCTGTTATTGATTTCCACTCTGATCTCATTAAGGTCGACTGCTTGTAACTGCGTTAAATTAAGTATTATCTAGGGTATATTGTGTCTCCCTCTTAGTGATCGTGAGTCGTGTATTTAGTATAACTGGATCCAATGTGTATATAGCATATCGTCTTAGTTTTCGATCTATTGATAACAAAATCTCGGTTCCCAGTCCATTTATCGCATTACAGTAGTATACCGCAGAAATAGAAAGTATTTTTATTCTTCCATTTTGTCAAAACTGTCATTTATAAGCTCACAGTGTCCATTATTTAAATGGTCGAATGCACAGCACGTCAATTCAGAAAGTTTTACATTACATCTGTGGTGATGATGTTTTACACTGTCTTTGAACACGGCTGATTTCATAGAATCGCTATACGTAAACAACAACAGTTTGGGTTGAATAAATTTTATTATGTCACTTACCAGGTGCATAAATAATATATTTGTAATATCCCAATAAGTAGAAAATTAGATTTTCTGACGTTTCGTGACTTAGTGTAAGTCACTTCTTCATGTTCATGTCGTTGGTTTTGAGCGACACTAAAAATGTGACGGCTAGTGATAATACGCGGCTGCCCATACCAAATATAGTAGGGCAGAGTTCGAACCCTGAACATTAAATCGTCTTATAACGATAGCTTCGGTTTTCTAATGACTACAGAAATATACAGATAACGCTAATAATTTTACTGACGATCTTTAAAGCATTTGTTATCTGACTAAGGAATTAATTTACAATGATTAGTTAATATTGCAAAGGATGGAAATTCGCAATAAGTAAGTTTTGTTAGACAATGTGGTTTGCTTGACTCTCGCAAATTAGTCAAGAATCCTAAAACTTAATAATTCAAGTTTCAACATAGGAAAGATTACTTTAATGTCCGTTAATGTTGGTTCTGCTGCACAATTGTTGACTATGAAATTTCATAGACACAATCATGATCATTCACTTGGTAGTGTTACTCCACGTCTTAATTATTGTAAATACGTCCCATGTTTAATGATATTGATGAAGACAGTTTTACTACTTACGAAAGGAAACTTGACATCAGTTTAGCAGATTGACTATTTCATGTATGTTTTCCGAAGTACACGCATAATCACATCATATGTATATATGTAAACAGAAAAGGATGTTTTGTACGTTTTTATACCATATATACTCCGTAAAATCTGTTGTATGTCCATCGTTAGTCAAGAATTGTGATGTTTAGTGTACTATACCTCAAGCCTGAGTGGTTTGTATTGATATGTAGTACGTAAGATACAGTCAAAAGTGTCTAGTTTTTGATTCATAAATCATTCTTCCTAGCTTATGTTTTTCACCCTCTTCATGTTACATATACATTAGCTGATTATACATGTTTTAGTGAATCAAATCAACTAATCTGTTTTTTGAAAGTATTTTCTCTTACAGTTTTCTTATTTTTGTGTCTGTAATTTAAGTCAGAACAGGCAAAAGTTATTCGATATCAAATACCATCGGCTGATGGAAACGTTTCGCGAAAGCAGCCTAAAGGTAGGTTTTATTTTATATTAGAATTGTCATAGGATTCATTGTTCATGTTAAATATGTCTGTCTTTATGTAGGTCAAGTAATTACACTCGAAGGATTTCAAACGTGAGCAAATCCAGTTGATATTTAATTAAAGGTAAATGCAAAGTACTGAAACCAGCACTCTAAGCGATGCAAAATACCGTACTATGATAGAGGTACAAATAAAATGATGAATATCAACCTCCGGTTTGTAGTTTTCTGAATACAATGAATCCAAAGCTACTCAAGTGCACCAATAAAGACCGATTAGCACCTAGAACAAACCATACTATTGAATAACACTATAAAATGGTACTAACTTAAAGAACTGGTCAATTAACATGGGGATTTACGGGAAATCCCCTCTCAAATATAAGAAGTTTAGTTCAGAAAAAGCATTCATATCATTAATTCGCTTCGTTGCTATGGTTATTGTCTGATGAATATTTAGAAATCCTTGAAGACTCAGACGACGGCTGTTGTTGATGTTCTGCCCAACTATGATCTGACTTATTTTATTCATACTGTAGGGCCAGTAAAATGTCACTGAACCCTAGCCAAATCATCAATGAATATCGAATAAATCATTGGTCCTCGTCAAGGTCGAGGACAACCAACACGCATCAGTTAATCGCATGCCATGGAGTGGTGGTCTCGCTATCTTCTTTGCACTCATCCTTACTAATACATTTTCATAATAAGGTCCTTTGTGTAATATGATCTTCAAAGCAACCATGGTACTTTCATGAGTCGAAGGGTTAATCCACGTTAGATGCTGACCGCGAGATGTGACTTCGAAGTTAGCTGGTTCGTTATACCGTTCCCATATAACTCAACTAGACCTCCAATCATTCAACATAGATCATCTACGTTAGTGATCTACAATACATTGTATCCTTTGTGCTCTATTTTTTATGAGGCAGATGAAATGTATCTAGTAGTAAAATCCATGATGCGCGTTTTATCCTATTTTGGACTTGCCAGCTGGGTGCATCTAAACCTCAGAGTTGACGTTCACTGCGGGACTCGAACCTACTACCTTTTGCTTCAAGCGCCAACATACTGTCCACTTAGCTACTGAGTCCAAATAGTCAATTGTTCAACAGACACGAATTTTAATTTAATTTGTAATGGTTTGAAGTGGACGGTATTGTGCTCGATTCCCAGAGTTAACATCGACATTTTTGTAGATCCTTAACTATCATAGTTTTATAGATTTGGCACATATTTTCAAGCTGATGATGTAAACAATAAAGTGTTTGTTGTTTAAATCATTATCGTAATAACGTCAAAAGCTGAGAAAGTTTGTTTGACCGTATCTTCGTACTGTTCTCTTGTTTTTACGACAATTTTGAAATGCTTTTGAAAAATTTTTTAATGTATCAAACGTTGTTTATGAAGGTCTTTTTGGTTTGACTCTACACTGCAGATTGATATAATCTCTATAACCACTAAATACTCAGTCAGTCAGTCAGTCAGAAACAACGTAGAACTTCGTACGTACGTACATCAGTTCGAGTTGCCACACCACATTAGCACAGAGATGCAGTTGTCGATTCAAATCCCGTAGTGGTAGAGGTAAAAGAGTATAAGCAGTAATCGGGAAGATTAGGGTTTGGAGATGTTATTTAAAGAGTATAATCCAGTGAAATAAATTTGGAAAGAGGAAAAAAGGGACATGAAGAATTCAGAAGATTAGAATTTGGGAGAACACAGAGAGTGGATGCACCTGCGCCATTGCAAACGATTTTGAGCCATGTCATTCAGGGTCTCTAACCATCGGTTGCTATCATCTCGCGGTCCCCAACCAGGTAGTCTACACCTACCAACATGACTCAGTTCACTTGTCAGTGACTTCATGGACTTGTGCCATGTTTTGGTTTGGCCGCCCCTAGCTTTCTTCCAACCTACTCCTATACCACTGAACATAGCACGTCGAGGCAGTCGGTCGTTGGGCATACGTAACACGTGTCCCAGCCATCTCAACTGATGAAGTTTCACTACTTCATCAATTGATTTGCCATCCTTACCTAGTACCCGTTTCCTAACAACTGTGTTACTTACTCGATGGTCCCATGATATACGAGCAATGTTTCGAAGACACCTATGATCAAATACTAGTAACCTACGGATATCCTCTACTCTTACCGGCCATGTTTCACTGCCATAAAGTAGGACGGAACGAACTGCTGCGCAGTAAACACGTCCTTTGGTTGATAGACGGATATCTCGCCTACGCCATAAATGACGCAAGTTGGCAAAAGCTAGTCGAGCCTTCTGTATCCGTGCTGAGATTTCGTCACACACTAAACCACAAGGGCTGATGAGACTTCCAAGATAAGTGAAGCGGTCGACACACTCAACTACTTCACTCCCTATCACTAGTTCGGGTGTCGATGTAACCCAATCCTGAAGCAACATTTTGCATTTCGAGGGAGAGAATCGCATCCCGAACATGCTTGCATTGTTGCTTAGAGTGGTCAGAAGACTCTGCATTTTGTCAGCGTCTTCACCAAATAAAACTATGTCATCAGCATATTCTAAGTCAACAAGTGAACCTCCCGGTAGAAGTTCAACCCCTGGAAATTTAGATGAGGAGAGTGTTATCTCTAAAAGTACGTCGACCACAAAGTTGAACAAGAATGGGGAGAGTGGACAGCCCTGACGAACACCACTTGAGGTAATCAATTCTGATGACAGTTCGCCATAAGCTCTCACTCTACCAGTTGTGTTCGAGTAGAGAGCCTTTATAAGGTTAATGTACTTCTTTGGTACTCCTTTCAGTGACAAACACTGCCATAGAACCTCACGATCAACAGAGTCGAATGCCGCCTTAAGGTCGAGAAATACTACCATTGTGGGGCGTCTGAATGTGTGTCTGTGTTCTAGAACCTGACGTAGTGTGAATATCTGATCTATACAACCACGTCCAGGTCGAAAACCGGCCTGGTTTTCTCTAGTCTGCTCTTCACGAGCTTTGTTAGGCGTCGAAGTATTATTGAAGCTAATATTTTAGACACTATATTAGTCAAACTGATTCCTCTGTGATTGTCACAAGAGGACTTTTGTCCTTTCTTATAGACTGGCACAATCAGTGATTGAGACCAGTCAGATGGGATTACGTCCAGTTCCCAAATTCTACCTAAGACCTCGGTTAATCTCATTGCTAATACTGGACCACCATCCTTAAAAATCTCAGGAGTAAACCTGTCAGGGCCTGCTGCTCTCCCTCGTTTCAGATTTCCTATGGCTTTTTCAACTTCGTAAAGGGACGGAGGACCTACATTAACTTGCCATTCAGGTTGACTAGAGATCGTGGGAAACCGAAGTGTGGCTGAAGGCCAGTTGAACTGATCCCTAAAGTGTTCTGCCCATCGATCCAATCTCCTGGATTGAGAATGAATAATATGTCCATCTTTCTCTGAGATTGTTTCGCTAACGGTCGGGTTCCTAATTCCGGTTTCCTTAACGAGTCTGAACAATTGTCTGCTATTACCTATTGCCGCTGCCTTTTCCATCTCTCTTGCTTTCGCTACCCACCACTGTTCGCGATCATTGCGTAGACTTCTTGTCAGCTTGCGCTTAAGCTGACTCCGCTCTTCATTATGTTCAGAGCCAGGTGGAATGAGTTTCCGAGCATCTATCAGTGCGATAGATGCTGCTGAGATCCAGTGTTGCTCCCTAACCTTCTGGTTTACCTTACTAGCAGATATCACTGCTGTTTCCACAGCTTTTCGGATATCATTCCATGCTGCATCGGGGTGGGCATCACATACATGGCTGCCTAACTGTTTTCCTAGTTGTTCCTGAAATATACTCTTAGCTTGACTATCATTAAGTAGGCCCTAAGAGGTTTCCTTGCAGCGTCTTTCCTACGTCCAGTAAGACGCAAGCAAATACGCGCTCGCACTAGAGCATGATCTGAATCTAGGCATGTGCTCCAGAATGAGCGACAGTCTTCTATCGAGCCCCTCCATCGGTGGCTGATAGCGATGTGATCTATTTGGGTCCAACGTTGGGACGAATTCGGGGGTCGCCATGTTAAAAGATGTTTTTCCTTATGCTTAAAGTTAGTATTTGCAAGGAACAGGCGGTTATCTGAGCATAGCTGCAACAGACGGTCGCCATTATCTGTTCTTTGAGCCACGACACCATAAGATCCACCTAGGTGTCTTTCCCTATCGCTTAGTTTACCTACTTGAGCATTAAAGTCACCGGCCACTATTACTACATCCGAGCGCTAGCTTTTCGGAGAAGGTCCGAAAGCTTTCTGTAAAACTCATCTTTTACATCATCTGAGCTGCAGTCAGTGGGAGAATAGGCAGAGACGACGAAGAGGCAACGACGAGTGTCCCTATCTTTCCGGATTCTTACTGTTCCGTTCAGTCGGACAGCGCACAAACGACTGTCTACTGGGATCCACTCTAAGAGAGCTAGTTCTGCCCTAGGACTCAATGCTATACCTACGCCGGCGAGGCCACGGGAAGCAGAATCAGGGCTTCCAGATACACGAAGCGTAAATCGAGTCGGTTCTTTATTTTGGCATGGTGAGGTCAAATGAATGACGCTACTTGGATCCTGTATGCGCGTTTCGGAGACGCAGCACACATCGATGGCGCGAGATTCTAAAGTTTTAGCTAAGGAAGCCTGCTGTCCTATTTGGCAAAGTGTTCGTACGTTAAAAGCTCCTACGTGTAGTTTAGAGCGTGGTTTCAGGAGACCAGGAATGGCGTTCCACGTACTCGAATCGTTTGCCCTAGCGGTGCGAGGTGATAAAGAGACGTGAGGAGGGTTAGTCGGGAGGATAAGAGAGGTATTAGGAGGTGTAGGAAGGATTTGAATGTGACCACCTTGGTCTCTTGTGCTGTTACGGGTATGAGGGCTGATGTCACTTCCCGGCTGCCCACACCGTGGAAGGGTATTTCTTGAGGAACCTGAAAAGGAAATTGGATTAGTGTTGGTCTTGACGACCTGGGAGCGTGACCGCAGAGCCCAAGGGACAACTGCTTGAGGCCGGTCGCGCACGGCCTTTTTGTGGAAGGTTTTTGACGTGTTAGCTCCGTTCTTCAAAGGGCCTTACCGCCGGAGACGGAAATCCGTGAGGTAAGGTGAGGTGTGACATTTTTAGGGTCGACCTTTTCTAACCCCACCCCTCCTTGTGGGAAGGCAGCATCGCTGTCATGCTGGTTGTCCGAAGGAAACACCTTACTGCTGTCACACCCTCTACAGTCAGCAGTACGACTTCGCCCTCAGACCTTGAGTTGCTGCTTTTAGTCTTACCGTTCACCAATCGACCTGCCTGGCATGGTAGAACCTACAGGAACATATGTTCCAGCCAATATAGCTCGGTTGGGTCATCACGATAGGCAAGCCCGACCACCGCGTCAAGGTAGCAGCTTCGATCGGGAACCACTAAATACTAAGGAAATCTAGACAGTTATGTCTTACAAGTTATGGACTCTTCGTCAGTCTTCGCCATATTTTCATTTTAGATGACTTTCCACCGAAACCCAATTTGAATGACTATCAGGTATCCATCACTGACTTGCTTCAAGAGGGATTTGCAAAACTCGATAATTTGAAGTTGTCACTTTGAAGTCAAACGCTGTCTGCAATAAGACAGATTTACATCAACAACACTAAATGTCTATTGATGCTAAAAACTAGGGAATATTGGATTTTAACTAGGGTGGCCTATTTATGACGTGCTGTATTTTATTCGTGTGTTTTTATGTCCGCTTCTGTGTGGCGTATTGAGTACATGTTGCTGAGAAGCCCTAAACTTAGACAAGATTGCTCTGTTATGTTGTATGATTCTCAATAATTCTCTGACGTACATAAATCTGTATCATGTGCATATTATGTGATAAGGAGAAGAATCAAACTGTATATTTGATCAGATCCCTGATTCATCTAACTTATTTTTTTGTACACTTACCACTTGGTATATTTTTCTAGAGGGTATGATCAATATGACTGGTAAATCATATGTTTGCATTCTTCATGAGTATTGCCAAAATGTTATACGTCGTCCGCCGACATATCAGACAACAGTTCTTGAAAATGATAAAAATCCCTATCAAATGACAGTATTTATTAATGGCAATCCATATGGAACCGGTACAGGGCAAAGTAAAAAGTGTGCAAGATTAGAAGCGGGTATGTCTTTTCTTGACTGTTGAAAATGGTTATTTATTTATTCTTGTATTAAAGCTAGTCGAATTATGTAACCCTGTTACTTTATACGTTGAAAATGTTACATGTCTCAAACATTCTTGGTAGAATAAATTGAATTCAGTAGAGGATAAAGGATAATCAGAGTTATGAATAAGTTCAAAAGTGGTTTTATATATAGACTTAATAATTATCCCAAAACTTTTCGTCTGGCTCGTTAAAATATAGTTTGTAATTATTAATTATGATCAGAATATTAATGTCTTATTTGATAACTTTTTATGTTCTCACTCTTCACAATTATACATTCACTTAAAATAATATCTGATGGTTGCTTTATTTTATTTTATGAAGCTCGTAAGGCGCTTGAAGTCTTAATTCCGGATTTTCAAAAGATTGTATGTAGCAATTCACATCAAACAGGTCCAGTGGTAGCCTCTGATCGTGATATGCAGTTGTTCGATTCCATTTCGGTGACTGATCCACGTTTATATGAATTATCTGTGCGTATGGCATTACCTACTCCATATAATCTACTTGTTGAATGTTTAAGTCGAAGTTGTGTTCCTGAGTCTGATTTGAAGTCAAATATGATATCTCAAGGACGCAGTAAACACTTTTTCACTTTACAGCTGAGAGAACATACTGTTAAGGTAGGCTTAACTATTCCTATAATTATAATGATAGCACTATATGTAATTTACTTATAACTTTGAAAAGACCAATACAAATGAAATGGGATTACATCTACTCGCTGAATGTGGAAGCCATTATTAGGAAAAAATTTAGAGTGTTTATAATAAGATAACAATGTTTATCGATGTATCACACTTGTTAAACTCTTCGAATGTTGTACACTACACTATTTGAAAACGTTTGGTATAACAATCTGTTGTCCAGTTTTATGAGTCCTATGTAAAGCATACAATGCCAACAAGTAGAACATTTTTGACTTTAAGCATTCACAAGCTGATTCGTTTATTTTTTTCTCTTTTATAGCCTGACTACAATTCCTATTGGTTCTTAGAGTTTTATCTTTGTTCTGTTTGTTTATAAGAAATCGTTTGATATCATTTAGTCATTTAATTATTTCTAAATGGTATTCTTCCTTAGTTAAAACACTTGTATTGTATTATATATTTATTTTAACACAAAGATATTGGTAAAAGGAAGCACCAAATACATATGCGCCACACAAATCCCATTTAATTTGTGTGAGGGCTGTGATACTGCCCGGGTGTCTAGACCGAAGCAGGTGGTTTTCTCAGGGGACCACACCCGAAGCCTTCGACCTGAAAGTCTAATACACAAGGCAGTGGAGCATCGTAAGGACATGCGGCCCCATGGTAGCCGGTTACCAACGATTGGCTCATACACCATTTGTTCTCACGGGGTACTGGAGCCCATGTGCACCATTGGTTTGGAATCAGGTTTTTCCCTTGTCCCCCAGGTGGACCCTCTGTGTCCACCAACCCAGTTAAAGCGCCGGACATTCGTTTTTCGTCCTCTCAATTTCATAAACAACACCCGTGGTGCGAGGAAGCAGTGAGTAGGACTTCCCTGGCAGAGGCTATATACGCGTGGCCATGTGAGAGCATTTCGAGAGGGAGAGTGGACCCTTCACACTCCCGGCCGTACCAGGGCATTTTGGGGCATCCTGGAACCCTCATGTGGTCTGTAATAAATATAAAGAGGTTAATTGTGTGATAACATGTTGGTTTACTAAACTCATAAACTTGACACTGGATCAACCTTTTCTGTCTTTCAAATAGGCTTTCCATCATACAATTGATTAAACATGCCTGTTACATTACATTTGTAAAAATTATTTCCATTGAATTAAATTAGCGCGTTTGTGAAAGAAATAGAGCATACGGAATAAAATGAATTCACTCCGTTCTACAATGTTCGTTACTCTTGGTTTACAAAAGTAGATGCTATTTTAGAGAAATACCTTACTCTTATTAATGTAACGACTTTTTATAATCATTTCTTTCATTATTTTGAAACCTCCTTAGTAAATTCACTATTATTAGTCACTGAATAATTATGATTGAAACTAACCATCTCAATGTTCATAGGTTAGATGTAAAAACAAAAGAGAAGGTCGTCATTTATCTGCTCAACATCTTTTAGCCCGTCTACATCCTGAAGTTAGTACCTGGAGTGGTCTTTTACGTATTTATGGTCCGGGTAGTAAACCAGACAAGCGAAATGAGTTGGAAACAATCCAAGATGCACAAATTCAACAGAAGTCAGCTGTAAAAGCTAGTTTAATTCGTTTATTAAAAGCGAAAATGAGTGAATTAGCTGATCAGTGGGTAAATAACTGTTTTCAATAAAAGATTCTGCTGTAATATGTGGAGTTAAAATAATTTCATTTCATTTATCTTGAACTCCAAACCTTACTATTTAAACTGTTAGGTTGTTGAAGTGGTTTTCACCTGGAGTTTTCCAGCTTGCATAATACGATCATTTTTATGACTTTATGTCTATCCGTTTATCTGTCGAGGTCTTTTTTGATAGAACACCCAAATCTCTATTTTAATATCACACTCTTATCTAACTTGCAATGTTAATTATCTGAAAAATATGGAATAATAGTCTATATGTGCTGCTTAAGATCTAGATTACTATTGTTATTTATTTCGTTATATAGAATTTCTCAGCCATAACCAATCCCGATTGAATGGATTTATTTAAGGAAAATCAATTGTTTATTTCATGTAAATGTACTTCCTTTTATATGCCTACATCTTACATATGTCCCCTCTCCCTAAAGTAGTTTGATAAAGTTTCGTAATCAAATATTACTTTATTGATGCATGTTCATTTTTAACAAAGAACTCCACATATAACATTCTGTGATAACTACCAAAATGTATCAGATGTATAAAAAACGTCTACTGTTTGAAATATATGAATAAGGCTTTTAACCCCATGCTTCACCAGACAGCGAGGCTCAACTGTTCAAATCTGAGCGCTTTAACCATTGAGTTATTGCTTCATTATAAATATTTTTCATGTGATCGCAACATTAGATTTCATGTACTTCTGGTATGATTTTTTATTTATAAAGCAACCAGTAGAAAATCACAAACTATTATTCACAATTTGAGTATTTTGATGATGACATTACAATGTGTTTACAAGTATCCTTACTGATGTATGCTACCAAGCAACCAGTCATGCTCCATGTCCTTGGCGAATTCGATAAATTATCTAAACTGTTATTTATAGCTAACTAACTTATATAACTGTTATTTATAGCAGTGGTTCTGCGCTTCCACATTAACTTTCGTTTACATGATCAATTCCAAAGTTGACTATATTCCCTATGATTTTCTACTATAGTTCTATCACATCTGAACATGTGAACACATATTACGTATGTCTTATGAATAAGTAACTAGTTTTGTGTCTTTCCATGAACACTTCCTGTTAGCGTAGCATCGTTGTCTGTTTCCCTGGTAATATTTAATCTTTAGCGTTTTTTAATGTCAATTTTGTGACCAGCCTAATTTAATTATTCGGATCTCCGTAAATTCCTTGACACTTTGTTTTGGATTTAGGAAAAGTCTGGCGGAAATTCGAATCCGAAAGGGAAGTTTTTTGTTTCACCCTACAACCTTCCTGTGGTCGCTTTCCATCCTGACTCTGAGGGTGACTTGTACAGTTCTGCACCGATTGCATCTTCTTCCTCCCCGCCCATACTACCCCCAACATCGGATTAGTCGATTTTGTAGTGTGATTTTCATTTCCAATAATAAAACATTTCCATTTTTTCTTCCCGTACTGTTCACTGATTTTTCTGTATTTACTTTGTCACTGTACTGAATATAAGTCATAATACTTGACCGATTGAACATTTTAACTTCATTGGTGTTCAGGTGGAAATTCTGACATTAAGGTAGTTGGTTGTTTAGATTTCTCTCTTTTAGTAACTATTATTTCAATGCAAGATATATATTTGACCTGCTGTTACTTAGCACCTCGTCATTCGATTTATGTGAGGTCTGGTATACTGCCCGGACGCTCAAACCGAAGCAAGTGTTTTCCTTAGGAGGTCACTCCCCTAGTCGTCTGATCTACAAGGTAGTGGAGCAACGTCAGAAAATGCAGTCACATGGTAGCCGGTGACCAAAAATAAATGTATACGCCATTTCTTGCATCAGGATCATGTAGCTCATGTGCACCATTGGTTTGGAATCGAGGTTTTCTGACTCTCCCAGGTTAATCCCCCGTATCCACCAGTAACCCTGTAGAACTATGGTCTACTATGATACTAGTACTGCTCGAATAATAGGCCTAATCCTAGAATCGTAGATTTGTCATGATATAACTGCCTAATCTATAGGATCTTACGTGGAAGTTACATCGTCGTCTACACCAACTCTGCATCATAACAATTACCAATGCATGATGTAGAACAAGCTAAGGCTAGAGATAGGACAATATATTTAATATGGTTAAAAGATATAAGATAGCAGGGACCACGCCTGCATGGCCGAGCCATGCCATTCGATCAACCTCAATTCACTCAACTCATTGTTTCCGCCCTTTCCATCGTTAGGTATTTCTCCGCGTTAAATATTGAATATCTATTTTCCGAGTAGTGTTGTGTTCAGCTTTGAAGATTATGTGGTTATGGTCCAATGCCACTACAACCCCTCCACGAAAGGGCAATGTCCGTATACGCGTGGCCATGTGAGTGCATTTCGAGCGATAAAGAGAGCCCTCCCCCACAGTCAGCCATATCAGGGCATTTCTGGAGCCACCTAATTCACTCAATATGTGAACATCAGAGATGGGTTTTGAGTATGTTATGCCTTGATCTCAATTGGCTCAACGAGATGGTATGATTCCATGCAATTTCCGGGTGGTTAATCCTCCCAGGTTCGATTTGTTCCTTAAGGTAACCAATAGGAATCGAACAAACGAGAATAGTAATTTATTTTTAAGGTAGCTTCAAGTTACGTTAAGCATGCGATCTTACGGACAATATCAAACTTAAAATTACTTTACAGGGATTACTATAGGGAGATATGCAACTGAGTTGTTGTGTTGTGACGTACATGGATATTTTATAATATGGAAAGAAAGTAAGAACATGCCATATATATAGATATACTAATGTAGACAGAATAGAAAACTAGTTGAAGGAAAAGATCACCATGTTCAAGTTTATTATGTTCTGTAAAGACCGAAGTGCGTTCTTCACAAACGGAAAATCGTATAGATGTTTATTGAGGTTGAAGAACAGGTAATGTCAAATCACAAGGACGTATCCATCACAAAAAATTACGGTGACTAACAATTTATCTTCATAATCCTAAAAATTGTCCGACTTGGAAATTTGCAGTACATGATACTGTAGGGTCACTGAAAAAACAATTAGTTCTTGATACCGTAACCCCTCATTCTGAACTCCTACCTCGACAGAATAAAAGCAGACGTTTTATTGTTGACCACATTATTAGAAGAATGACAACTTTCCGACGCACAGAAATCCGTTTATTTATTGAGATTGAAATGAGAGGTAGGGCATAAAATAACACAACCTCTTGCTAACGTTACCTCTTCTTTGTTGGTACGACCTCGATCGGCTGACTTGGGGACCGGCAGTTTGTGTTTGAATGATACGACAAAGTTCGCTTGTTTTAGGCTCTCTTCCCTTTCTGTTATATGGCGTTTTGAAAGTTCTGGACATTGTGAAAAAATTGATACATCATCTCCAATGAGTTTATGGTTCTATATTCTGTGGTTGGATAGAATTTTTCCGTGGTGTTTTGATGTTTTGTTCTTACGACCAACAGTAAGAGTGCATCTTGTAGTTTGAATACGGTTCACGTCAAACTCAGAGTTTTTATCAACAGAAATTTCTTTGTCAATTTACTATACAGTTGAGAAGAGTTCGGAAAGCATAAACGTCAAAAGTGCAGATAACGAGTACTCCTTGTATTCATCTATGGAGTAAAGCAAACCATAGTGAGCGTTGGGAATATATGTTCATCCTTTTTACATGTGTATTTGTCGCTGATAAAAAGCCCCAAGTTTTCGACCCCGGCATTAAAGTGTTAGAATGTTAACTTACATGTAACTAATTAGGATCATGTACTTTGGTTTTCAGCAAATGATATGAGTGGCTTTATGTGACATTTTGCATACGACAGTGTCTTCTGAGATGGTTCACAGCCAAGGTGTTTTGCTAGCCTTATAGTTTGCAATCGGCGAAGTAGAAGCTTGTCTTCCGCAGAGAGGAGGAATTTAGCCCAAACACTTCAACAAACATCTGTGTTGAGCAACGTGGTTGAATGTGATGGACACAAATCACAGAAATATAACCGTCACCGGCGTCTACACTATGAACTGCAACGTCACCAAAAGTAAGCGTGTTATTGCGCATACGAAAACCGGTTACTCTCTAAATGGTTTTTTTGTATGTCAGCATGTTGTAAAAGATTGTTTTTCAGAAGACAGTATTATGGCACAGATCTTTTCGGTGTGTATGGATGAATTATCAGGTCCAGGTTGAATCTGCTACATTACATTGAGTGGTATAGTACTTTTTTAATGCAAACACTGCATTTGTTCTTAAATAATATTCCATTGGATAGCTGTCGTTATATCCGCTTCTTTAATGATCATATTAGACTCTAAATATGACGTAATACCTGTAAACACAACAACATGAAAATATACGGACTGTTTACTTACATCGACAGGCAAACGCCTAGCGTTACCGGCCAAGCCTGTAGTTGCCGAAATGGTCCGACTGATATAAATGAGCAGCTTTAAAGGCTGACGTTCAACAGACTTTTCTCTTTTGGATCATTTTCAGAACGCGCTTAACGAATTAGGACGCGTAAAACGATGACAGTTCGACTGTATCATAAATTACGGATACTCAGTATATTTAAGCGGAGAGATAGCAGACTGTTACGAACGAATTCTCAGCACAGATTAAAAACAGTTTCTTTAATGATGGCCAATTCAAGGTTTACTCACCACAACTATCTGAATTACTAACAAAACCTGTGCTGTCAGTTATTATGAATGCGACCAAGAACAATCCCTTTAAAAATATCTCGCCAAATCAGTGGTAAATACGTCATCAATCAAACTTGTGCTAAATAGGTTGTATATTAAGACCGGCCCTTCCTCGAGCGAGGCTATCAAGTAGACAAAAGGTAGACGACTGGAATCAACAAATATCAAGCTGAGGCTACAGATATTACACATACTTGTGATAAATCACTTGGACAAAGACGACAGTACTATGATATGGCGCAAATATTCAGGTAAACATATACATATTCATGAAAATTTATGTGTTTACAAGTACACGCCAACAATTAAGCAGGAGTTAGGACGAAATAAAAGGTGGGACGACAATTGTATTTTTCTGGTGTGAAGTTGCGCATATTATTGAATCCCATTGAGACCATGAACTGATCTGAGTTAACCAATCATCAAAAACCTGGAAGCACTGAATGGCAGCTTCGTTCTGGCGTAGAACTCATCAGCAGTGCGCATCCACGATCCCGCAAATAGGGCTCCAATCCATGACCTACGGTCTCGTGAGTAAACGCTTGACCTCCAGGTCACAGAGCCGTGTTCCAATAATGTTAATGCCTGACATCAAACAATCCAATGTACGTCACGACCATCATCTATTGCCTTCAATTTATAACTGCTTCCACCGATCACGGTTTTACACTAGAATTGCCTCTCGAAGTTAATCACTAATGAGCAGATTATAATTACCAGTAAAAGGTCGTGCAGACTGTTGAGATCATGAGCCGACATAAGCTAGACCAACATTGAAAACCCGGAGACTAAACGACCGTTCGTCTTGGTATGGGATGACTCGTAGTGGTCTACATTGTTTGCACGCAATCAAAGAGCCTGACTTCCAGTCCTGTATCCAAAGCCATGAATCTGCCCTGCTAGAGCCTCATATAATGATGAAACGGCCGTCCAGCATTTCTAGGTATTTAATAGCAGTATAACTTAAATCCATGAATTCCGTGTATTTGTACATTTGTCCGTCAAGCACTTATTTAATGAATTTACACACTTGTCAAAAGAATAAGTCTAAAAATCACTACAAGAGTGGAAAGTTGTTCAGTCTAGAAATCAGAATATACTCGCCGTAAAAATAGGTAGTTATGACCTCGAAACTTTCAAACTTATTTGGCGTTAGGTTAAAAATTTGCGCTGCACGATCCTTATCAACCTCCAGATGTTTCAGTTTCCTCCAGAGTATAGTAAAGTATCAGCCGTTGAAATGGAAAGAATGGCGGTTCAACACTTCCGTAAAGAACTGGCCAGCTTCGCACTCTCGGTCACAGCTATTTTTATAGGTAATATAACCTAGTGTTTTATAAGTCTACTAATACTTATAGTAGGTTTGGTTTTCACGGACAAATAGCTCTACAATCCTTAAAATGTATTTACAAATAAAATAATGCTTCCAAGTTGCCATCCTTCTGTCTACCATGACGTTAACCTTGGGAGTATTCAAGTATATGTTTGGTTACTAAGTTAGTGGAAAAAGCAAGTCTGTATTCCTCATTGTTATCAACATCATCTTGCTTATCAGCCAAACCTTGTATCCGATATATATTCCATTTCTTATTTAGGATCAGTCTTATAAGTAATACATTTACGAAGACTCCAAAAATGTTCACAAGCCTAAAGCAGATTACTTGTCAACTGACTATCGACTTTC